AAAGGCTAACGCTCGAAACGTCAGCTTTTTTACCCTTTACGATGGCTAATTTACGTTTTCAACTCAGTTGTCAACACTAAATTACCTGCTATACTCTCCCACCAATGCAGCACCACAGTTTCTTTAGAAACTTGCCCCTTTATTCATTTGAGAATTTGTTTAACAATCAAGAGCTTCCTTACTTGTGGATAATTACCTTTTATTTTTGATGTCAATGTTTAATTGGTACTGTAAGAAGAAATTAAATGCTAGTCTCTCTTAGAGGTTAAAGGGTAAATTGTTAAATTTGTCTTCCCATTTTCAGGATATTGACAAGATTAATGGGCATGGGTATCCAAGAGTCCTAGTGTAATGGTTTTGTGTGTACAACACCATTCATGCTGTTAGTCAAGAGTGCTTATAAAATGCCTTGGGAAGATAGTGACATGGGACTGTAATATTTTAAAATGTACAATTTTTTTTATATTCTGCACGATAACCTTCCTCATACTGGCCATGCCATATGTTTAGAAAACAATTGGAAAATTCCCAAAAATAGTCAAGGAAGAATTGAATGATTTTGAAAAGCTAAAAACAGAAAACCATCTTACTTCAATAGTCATTTTAAAAGCATGTCATAAAAATCAACCTTAATCTGGGTGAATAGTCAAAATGGAGGGCTGAGGCAAGTCTTTGTTTGCATTTTCAGTCTTAGCCTGATCAGTTAGTTAAGTTATAGGTGAATTGGTGCTCAAACAGAAATCTATAGATAACCAGTGGAGTAATAAAAAGGAAGAAAACTTTCATGTGCAACGTTACTTTCATCAAGAAAGTATTAGTTTCATGTGTACAGAAGACGATCACCGGTATAACTCTCCAGACGATCTTCCACTCTCAACATCTAAACGATTTGAAAGATAATGGAGGACTTTCAATTGCCTGAGAAGATGAGGTAAGGCAGGAGGTAGGGGGGATACCAGATGAGGCAAGACAGGAGGTAGGGGATACCTATGCAAAACTGAGACATTGGAAAGTTTAGAGGATCCACTAGAATTACCTCAATTCCCTAAGTGTTCATGTGGCTACCCAATTTGATTCTATTGATCAAAGTATTTTCCCAAACCACGCATAAATGAGAGCGCGTATGCTACTTCAATTGCTTCATAAATATTCCATACGTTTTATAAAGATTTTCGTTACTCTTAAGAGTAGTACAAGTAGTAGAAATACAACGTAAAAATTACAACAACAACAACAACAACAATAGATGAAAATAGGAATTTACTGTACACATAAGGTAAGATTATGACTGGAGAGGAATCTAAGGGAAAGGAATCCAATTCTAGACAATAAACATTGTGACGTCTGAAACTGGACGAAGGCCTGATAACTGAAGTCCAGATAAGCAGGTAGTATGTTCCATAATTTTCCTTGCCTGGTGGTTGAAGGACATCATTAAGTCTGGATACCCGCAAGTCAACAGCATACTTCAAAGAAGCGAAGTGTGTTTCTGCTATCGTTGTTTCCAATAGCAATTGTTAGCCCTCGAGGTACGTAAATGTTGGAGCTCGAAGCAGATCGATCCAGGAAGGAACTCTAAAAATACTTCTCGCCAAAAAGAGTTTTGACCGATTTCCCTTTCACTGTTCACAGATTTGGTGCCAAAGCGAGAACTGTTTTTAGACTTACTAAAATTTCTTCCGAATGAAATCAAGAATTCCCGACCCAAAAAAAATTTTATATTTCCCAGAATGCATTGCGAAAAAAAGCCTCATTAATATGTATTACATCCTTCCCCAGTTGTTGTTGTTCTTTCTTTCCATTTCGAATCTCTGATTTTTATTCAGTCAAACTCAGTTTCAGTGAACATGTTTTGCTGGTGCGAATGAGTTATTAATCTAGTACAAAAGGCAGGTGCATGGGGGCGTATCCGTTGGTAATAGCTAACTTGCTTTTGGCAAGTAAGGAACATGAAAAGGCAACAACATTGAATTAAAAGTCGGAACCAATTATACGAACGACTGAAAGCGCAATTGGAGACCTTTATGTTTGTCTGGTACAAACAAACACACGCTGTTACCGAACGGTAATAACGTAGAGATTGAGGTAATTGCGCCTGCTTAAAAAGAGGCTCTTGTTCTTGTTCTTTGTTTTTTTTTTTTGTTTATTTTTGTTTTTTTTTTGCCAAGTAAGGAACAAGAAAAGACAGCGGCAATGAATTGAAACGTCGTTACAAATTATACGAACGGCTGAAAGCGCAAAATGGTGACCTTTATGTTTGTCTAGTTCGAGCAAACTCACGGAAAACGCATCAAAACAGTTGACCTCCGTCGCTGCTCACTTTCTGTCAAATTTTTGTCGCGAATCAAACCGAGAGTCGATCGCTCGCTTTTTGTCTACGTCGACATTTTTTTCTGCAGAGGCAGGTCACCTTTGGAGATGTGGTCATTGATTTTCTCTGTTGCTTCATGACAATAATGCGAGTTTTTCACTCACGTAACAAAAACCACGAAAATGAAACAACAACCACAACAAAACGAAACAGAACACACACAGAAAAAAAATTAAGACGTGCGAAAGGAGATGGGCTGCTCATTGACCTTTAGGTTAGTGGTGGCTCCTAAAGGAGCCGTTAGTGTTTGTTCGATGACCAAGCGACTGTACTAAGCCCGCTCGCCACGAATCCTTCGAGCCAACTGGATATCCTTCGGCATGATGGTTACGCGTTTGGCGTGGATGGCGCACAGATTGGTATCTTCGAACAGACCCACCAAGTAAGCTTCGCTAGCCTCTTGGAGCGCTAGTACAGCGGAACTTTGGAATCGCAGATCGGTTTTGAAATCCTGCGCGATCTCCCGCACAAGCCGTTGAAAGGGCAACTTGCGGATAAGTAACTCCGTAGACTTCTGATAACGACGGATTTCACGGAGTGCAACTGTGCCTGGTCTGTAACGGTGAGGTTTCTTCACGCCACCCGTAGCGGGAGCACTCTTGCGGGCCGCCTTAGTGGCTAACTGTTTACGAGGAGCTTTTCCACCTGTTGATTTCCGGGCGGTTTGCTTGGTACGAGCCATAGCTAACAAGATTGAGGCTTCAGTCTCGTAATTTCTTCAGAAATTTTACGCTTTTCTCGCGATCTCCTGTGACAAAACCGATTTTATAACAAGCGCTCAACGATCCGATTGGTTATCCAAAGTTTGCTTGTGATTGGCTGCGGTGAATTTCTTTGTTCGGGTACTTTTTTTTTTTTTTTTTTTTCCGAGGATGAGGCGGAAAGTAAATTTTAGTAAACTCTGACCTGCAACTTTTCTCAAAACTGCCCTCGGTTTTCAGTCGCTCGCTTTCGGTGAGTACTCTCGAAAAAAGTAATAAACTAATTAGTGAGTGAGTGAGTGAGTGAGTGAGACTGAATTTGACCATGGATTACTTTGAAGGTTGTGAGTCATTTTCGCTATCCTTTAGCGTGGCCGTGTAGATAGGTGATAATGGTATTCATAAGTCGGCATTTGGCCTGGCTTTCTTGTCAATTGAAATGTGACGTTTCCCGAGAGGTCCAGCCACACATCTCAAGTTTTGTTCAGGGCCGACAACAATTGCATCCGTAACATTCGAAAGAAAAAAAATCATGTCTGGACGCGGCAAAGGAGGTAAAGGGTTTGAAAAGGAGGCGCCAAGCGCCATCGAAAGATTCTGCGAGACAACATCCAGGGAATCACCAAGCCAGCAATCCGACGTCTGGCTCGCCGCGGTGGTGTCAAGCGTATTTCCGGGCTCATTTACGAAGAGACCCGCGGAGTCCTCAAAGTCTTCCTGGAAAACGTTATCCGTGATGCTGTGACTTACACCGAACACGCCAAACGGAAGACCGTTACCGCAATGGATGTGGTCTACGCCCTTAAACGCCAAGGCCGTACCCTATACGGTTTTGGCGGGTAGAGAATCACGGAAACCTCTGAGAACTGATAAACGGCTCCTTTAGGAGCCACCACCTCATGCGAAAGTCGTGATCAGCCACAGTGATGGTCAAACCCTGTGTTTGAACAACGAGTCAAAGGGCGATATTTTTCTGCTCTCAACGTTTCTCCTAATCCTTGTGTTAGCGTTAATGCAGTGTAACTCGAGTCGCTTGTCGTGGTGTGCCAAATAGTCTCTCGTTCCAACAGGGAACTGGGATGGCAGGAAATAGGAAGTAGTAAATTGGAGTTTCAAAAGCCGTGCAAAGCTGGGTTCAGCGAACGTTCTACTCAAATTCTATTACGTTTCCACGCAATGGAACCACGCGTGATCGCACCGTTCTCCAAGTACGTTAGTTCTGATCATTAACACATTTCATTAACACACACATTTCGAGTCGCTTGTCTTGCTATGCAAAATTAGCCCCAAAAAAGCCCCAATAAAAATAGCCCCAATAAAAGTACCTCGTTCCTTATTGGAACGGGGATGGCAAGGAATAGAAAAGATTAAAGCGGGTTTGCAACAACCACGCAAACTTGTGATCAGCGATCGTACCATTCAAACTCAAATGCGTTTCTCTGTCTTGACAGGTAGGAAAGCAGTTTATGCAATTCGCAAATTCCACACTCCAACAATTGAAAGAGAGAGAGACAAGAGCGGGCTGCAAATGTGTCGAGGCATTTTGCAAATCCAAATTACCGTCGTCCAACCAAACGAAAGGAAAACAAAGTCGCCGGCAATGTTTCCAAAAAACCAAAGCTGATTTGAATTGTCTTTCATTCCGTCTGTTTGATTTTTTTTATTTGCTTTTTATTTCTTTTTACTAGTTTGGGATCAAAAATACGGAATGTAAGCGATGGACACTAGCTGAACTGAAACGATTTGTTTTGATCGATAACAAAGTAAAGACGCGAGCGCTTGTGTGTGCATGTACGAGTGTCAATTGGAGTAAATGGATTTTTTCACTGATCACGACTTTTTCGAGGTTTGGTGGCTCCTAAAGGAGCCGTTTTTATGGTTTGATGTTGTCAATGGTGCTTCTTCTCGGCCTTCTTGGGTAGCAGCACGGCCTGTATGTTGGGAAGAACACCGCCCTGGGCGATCGTTACACCAGCTAGAAGTTTGTTCAATTCCTCGTCGTTTCGGACGGCCAACTGCAGGTGTCTGGGAATGATTCTGGTCTTCTTGTTGTCACGAGCGGCGTTTCCGGCTAACTCTAGAATTTCAGCACTTAGATACTCGAGCACAGCGGCCAAGTACACGGGAGCACCCGCCCCGACACGCTCTGCATAGTTTCCTTTGCGAAGGAGTCGGTGGATGCGGCCGACTGGAAACTGAAGACCTGCTCGGCTGGACCTGCTCTTTGCCTTGGTGCCCGACGCTTTTCCTTTCCCTCGGCCGGTCATTTTAGTTTTCTCTCTCGCAAACTAGCTCGTGCTAGGACACACACTGAAATCCAACGATTTTGTTGTTCAAATTGTGACGCGTTCCGAGTCGTGACGCCGTACTTATCTCGCGGCTCGCGCGCGCTAAGGGATCGAAACCCTCCAATCAAAATTAATTCCGCCCTCTGTTGCCTCGTAGTCTTTTGTTCCTTTCACAGCTGTATCTGAGCCAATCGCTTCAAAGAGAATTTTCGTCGGCATACTAATTGATCCTCAACAATGGACCTTAAATAGGGAGTCAATTCTCCTGTCTAGTCACACACCTCAGTCTATTTTTGAGCGAACGGTGATAGATTTTTCTAGACATGGCACCAAAAGTTCCCGCGGCCGGAAAAGGCGAGAAGAGAGCCGGCAAGGCTAAATCAGCCCCGACGGACCCTGGCAAGAAAAAAAAAAGAGAAGAGAAGCAAGAGAAAGGAGAGCTATGCGATCTACATCTACAAAGTGTTGAAACAGGTGCACCCCGACACCGGTATCTCCAGCAAAGCCATGGGTATCATGAACTCGTTTGTCAACGATGTCTTTGAACGCATCGCGACCGAATCCTCGCGGCTCGCGCACTACAACAAGAAATCCACCATCAGCTCTCGCGAAATCCAGACCGCCATTAGGTTACTGTTACCGGGCGAACTCGCAAAACACGCAGTAAGCGAGGGTACAAAAGCAGTCACCAAATATACAAGCAGCAAGTGAACTGCCCGACCTCACAAACAAACGGCTCCTTTAGGAGCCAACACATGTCATGAAAGTAAATGTCCAACATTGTTGTTGTTTTTTTGTTGTTCTTGTTGTTGTTCTTGTTGTTGTTGTTCTTGTTCTTGTTCTTGTTCTTGTTCTTGTTCTTGTTGTTGTTGTTGTTGTTCTTGTTCTTGTTCTTGTTCTTGTTCTTGTTGTTGTTGTTGTTGTTGTTGTTGTTGTTGTTGTTGTTCTTGTTCTTGTTTGTTTTGTTCTTTCTTTTTTCTTTCTTTCTTTCTTTCTTTCTTTCTTTCTTTCTTTCTTTTTTTTTTTTTCTTTTTTTTTTTCGAGTACGTAAATGTTGGAGCTCGAAGCAGATCGATCCAGGAAGGAACTCTAAAAATACTTCTCAAAAAAGAGTTTTGACCGATTTCCCTTTCACTGTTCACAGATTTGGTGCCAAAGCGAGAACTGTTTTTAGACTTACTAAAATTTCTTCCGAATGAAATCAAGAATTCCCGACCCAAAAAAAATTTATATTTCCCAGAATGCATTGCGAAAAAAAGCCTCATTAATATGTATTACATCCTTCCCCAGTTGTTGTTGTTCTTTCTTTCCATTTCGAATCTCTGATTTTTATTCAGTCAAACTCAGTTTCAGTGAACATGTTTTGCTGGTGCGAATGAGTTATTAATCTAGTACAAAAGGCAGGTGCATGGGGGCGTATCCGTTGGTAATAACTAACTTGCTTTTGGCAAGTAAGGAACATGAAAAGGCAACAACATTGAATTAAAAGTCGGAACCAATTATACGAACGACTGAAAGCGCAATTGGAGACCTTTATGTTTGTCTGGTACAAACAAACACACGCTGTTACCGAACGGTAATAACGTAGAGATTGAGGTAATTGCGCCTGCTTAAAAAGAGGCTCTTGTTCTTGTTCTTTGTTTTTTTTTTGTTTATTTTTGTTTTTTTTTTGCCAAGTAAGGAACAAGAAAAGACAGCAGCGGCAATGAATTGAAACGTCGTTACAAATTATACGAACGGCTGAAAGCGCAAAATGGTGACCTTTATGTTTGTCTAGTTCGAGCAAACTCACGGAAAACGCATCAAAACAGTTGACCTCCGTCGCTGCTCACTTTCTGTCAAATTTTTGTCGCGAATCAAACCGAGAGTCGATCGCTCGCTTTTTGTCTACGTCGACATTTTTTTCTGCAGAGGCAGGTCACCTTTGGAGATGTGGTCATTGATTTTCTCTGTTGCTTCATGACAATAATGCGAGTTTTTCACTCACGTAACAAAAACCACGAAAATGAAACAACAACCACAACAAAACGAAACAGAACACACACAGAAAAATTAAAGACGTGCGAAAGGAGATGGGCTGCTCATTGACCTTTAGGTTAGTGGTGGCTCCTAAAGGAGCCGTTAGTGTTTGTTCGATGACCAAGCGACTGTACTAAGCCCGCTCGCCACGAATCCTTCGAGCCAACTGGATATCCTTCGGCATGATGGTTACGCGTTTGGCGTGGATGGCGCACAGATTGGTATCTTCGAACAGACCCACCAAGTAAGCTTCGCTAGCCTCTTGGAGCGCTAGTACAGCGGAACTTTGGAATCGCAGATCGGTTTTGAAATCCTGCGCGATCTCCCGCACAAGCCGTTGAAAGGGCAACTTGCGGATAAGTAACTCCGTAGACTTCTGATAACGACGGATTTCACGGAGTGCAACTGTGCCTGGTCTGTAACGGTGAGGTTTCTTCACGCCACCCGTAGCGGGAGCACTCTTGCGGGCCGCCTTAGTGGCTAACTGTTTACGAGGAGCTTTTCCACCTGTTGATTTCCGGGCGGTTTGCTTGGTACGAGCCATAGCTAACAAGATTGAGGCTTCAGTCTCGTAATTTCTTCAGAAATTTTACGCTTTTCTCGCGATCTCCTGTGACAAAACCGATTTTATAACAAGCGCTCAACGATCCGATTGGTTATCCAAAGTTTGCTTGTGATTGGCTGCGGTGAATTTCTTTGTTCGGGTACTTTTTTTTTTTTTTTTTTTTTCCGAGGATGAGGCGGAAAGTAAATTTTAGTAAACTCTGACCTGCAACTTTTCTCAAAACTGCCCTCGGTTTTCAGTCGCTCGCTTTCGGTGAGTACTCTCGAAAAAGTAATAAACTAATTAGTGAGTGAGTGAGTGAGTGAGTGAGACTGAATTTGACCATGGATTACTTTGAAGGTTGTGAGTCATTTTCGCTATCCTTTAGCGTGGCCGTGTAGATAGGTGATAATGGTATTCATAAGTCGGCATTTGGCCTGGCTTTCTTGTCAATTGAAATGTGACGTTTCCCGAGAGGTCCAGCCACACATCTCAAGTTTTGTTCAGGGCCGACAACAATTGCATCCGTAACATTCGAAAGAAAAAAAAACAAATCATGTCTGGACGCGGCAAAGGAGGTAAAGGGCTTGGAAAAGGAGGCGCCAAGCGCCATCGAAAGATTCTGCGAGACAACATCCAGGGAATCACCAAGCCAGCAATCCGACGTCTGGCTCGCCGCGGTGGTGTCAAGCGTATTTCCGGGCTCATTTACGAAGAGACCCGCGGAGTCCTCAAAGTCTTCCTGGAAAACGTTATCCGTGATGCTGTGACTTACACCGAACACGCCAAACGGAAGACCGTTACCGCAATGGATGTGGTCTACGCCCTTAAACGCCAAGGCCGTACCCTATACGGTTTTGGCGGGTAGAGAATCACGGAAACCTCAGAGAACTGATAAACGGCTCCTTTAGGAGCCACCACCTCATGCGAAAGTCGTGATCAGCCACAGTGATGGTCAAACCCTGTGTTTGAACAACGAGTCAAAGGGCGATATTTTTCTGCTCTCAACGTTTCTCCTAATCCTTGTGTTAGCGTTAATGCAGTGTAACTCGAGTCGCTTGTCGTGGTGTGCCAAATAGTCTCTCGTTCCAACAGGGAACTGGGATGGCAGGAAATAGGAAGTAGTAAATTGGAGTTTCAAAAGCCGTGCAAAGCTGGGTTCAGCGAACGTTCTACTCAAATTCTATTACGTTTCCACGCAATGGAACCACGCGTGATCGCACCGTTCTCCAAGTACGTTAGTTCTGATCATTAACACATTTCATTAACACACACATTTCGAGTCGCTTGTCTTGCTATGCAAAATTAGCCCCAAAAAAGCCCCAATAAAAATAGCCCCAATAAAAGTACCTCGTTCCTTATTGGAACGGGGATGGCAAGGAATAGAAAAGATTAAAGCGGGTTTGCAACAACCACGCAAACTTGTGATCAGCGATCGTACCATTCAAACTCAAATGCGTTTCTCTGTCTTGACAGGTAGGAAAGCAGTTTATGCAATTCGCAAATTCCACACTCCAACAATTGAAAGAGAGAGAGACAAGAGCGGGCTGCAAATGTGTCGAGGCATTTTGCAAATCCAAATTACCGTCGTCCAACCAAACGAAAGGAAAACAAAGTCGCCGGCAATGTTTCCAAAAAAACCAAAGCTGATTTGAATTGTCTTTCATTCCGTCTGTTTGATTTTTATTTGCTTTTTATTTCTTTTACTAGTTTGGGATCAAAAATACGGAATGTAAGCGATGGACACTAGCTGAACTGAAACGATTTGTTTTGATCGATAACAAAGTAAAGACGCGAGCGCTTGTGTGTGCATGTACGAGTGTCAATTGGAGTAAATGGATTTTTTCACTGATCACGACTTTTTTCGAGGTTTGGTGGCTCCTAAAGGAGCCGTTTTTATGGTTTGATGTTGTCAATGGTGCTTCTTCTCGGCCTTCTTGGGTAGCAGCACGGCCTGTATGTTGGGAAGAACACCGCCCTGGGCGATCGTTACACCAGCTAGAAGTTTGTTCAATTCCTCGTCGTTTCGGACGGCCAACTGCAGGTGTCTGGGAATGATTCTGGTCTTCTTGTTGTCACGAGCGGCGTTTCCGGCTAACTCTAGAATTTCAGCACTTAGATACTCGAGCACAGCGGCCAAGTACACACGGAGCACCCGCCCCCGACACGCTCTGCATAGTTTCCTTTGCGAAGGAGTCGGTGGATGCGGCCGACTGGAAACTGAAGACCTGCTCGGCTGGACCTGCTCTTTGCCTTGGTGCCCGACGCTTTTCCTTTCCCTCGGCCGGTCATTTTAGTTTTCTCTCTCGCAAACTAGCTCGTGCTAGGACACACACTGAAATCCAACGATTTTGTTGTTCAAATTGTGACGCGTTCCGAGTCGTGACGCCGTACTTATCTCGCGGCTCGCGCGCGCTAAGGGATCGAAACCCTCCAATCAAAATTAATTCCGCCCTCTGTTGCCTCGTAGTCTTTTGTTCCTTTCACAGCTGTATCTGAGCCAATCGCTTCAAAGAGAATTTTCGTCGGCATACTAATTGATCCTCAACAATGGACCTTAAATAGGGAGTCAATTCTCCTGTCTAGTCACACACCTCAGTCTATTTTTGAGCGAACGGTGATAGATTTTTCTAGATGGCACCAAAAGTTCCCGCGGCCGGAAAAGGCGAGAAGAGAGCCGGCAAGGCTAAATCAGCCCCGACGGACCCTGGCAAGAAAAAAAAGAAGAAGCAAGAGAAAGGAGAGCTATGCGATCTACATCTACAAAGTGTTGAAACAGGTGCACCCCGACACCGGTATCTCCAGCAAAGCCATGGGTATCATGAACTCGTTTGTCAACGATGTCTTTGAACGCATCGCGACCGAATCCTCGCGGCTCGCGCACTACAACAAGAAATCCACCATCAGCTCTCGCGAAATCCAGACCGCCATTAGGTTACTGTTACCGGGCGAACTCGCAAAACACGCAGTAAGCGAGGGTACAAAAGCAGTCACCAAATATACAAGCAGCAAGTGAACTGCCCGACCTCACAAACAAACGGCTCCTTTAGGAGCCAAACACATGTCATGAAAGTAAATGTCCAACATTGTTGTTGTTTTTGTTGTTGTTCTTGTTGTTGTTCTTGTTCTTGTCTTTGTTCTTGTTCTTGTTCTTGTTCTTGTTCTTGTTCTTGTTCTTCTTTCTTGTTCTTGTTCTTGTTCTTCTTGTTCTTGTTCTTGTTCTTGTTCTTGTTCTTGTTCTTGTTCTTGTTCTTGTTCTTGTTCTTGTTCTTGTTTTTTTTTTTTTTTCTTTCTTTCTTTCTTTCTTTCTTTCTTTTTTTTTTTTTTTTTTTTTCTTTTTTTTTTTTTTTCGGTACGTAAATGTTGGAGCTCGAAGCAGATCGATCCAGGAAGGAACTCTAAAATACTTCTCGCCAAAAAGAGTTTTGACCGATTTCCCTTTCACTGTTCACAGATTTGGTGCCAAAGCGAGAACTGTTTTTAGACTTACTAAAATTTCTTCCGAATGAAATCAAGAATTCCCGACCCAAAAAAAAAAAAAAATTTATTTTCCCAGAATGCATTGCGAAAAAAAAAAGCCTCATTAATATGTATTACATCCTTCCCCAGTTGTTGTTGTTCTTTCTTTCCATTTCGAATCTCTGATTTTTATTCAGTCAAACTCAGTTTCAGTGAACATGTTTTGCTGGTGCGAATGAGTTATTAATCTAGTACAAAAGGCAGGTGCATGGGGGCGTATCCGTTGGTAATAACTAACTTGCTTTTGGCAAGTAAGGAACATGAAAAGGCAACAACATTGAATTAAAAGTCGGAACCAATTATACGAACGACTGAAAGCGCAATTGAGACCTTTATGTTTGTCTGGTACAAACAAACACACGCTGTTACCGAACGGTAATAACGTAGAGATTGAGGTAATTGCGCCTGCTTAAAAAGAGGCTCTTGTTCTTGTTCTTTGTTTTTTTTTTTTATTTTTGTTTTTTTTTTTTGCAAGTAAGGAACAAGAAAAGACAGCGGCAATGAATTGAAACGTCGTTACAAATTATACGAACGGCTGAAAGCGCAAAATGGTGACCTTTATGTTTGTCTAGTTCGAGCAAACTCACGGAAAACGCATCAAAACAGTTGACCTCCGTCGCTGCTCACTTTCTGTCAAATTTTTGTCGCGAATCAAACCGAGAGTCGATCGCTCGCTTTTTGTCTACGTCGACATTTTTTCTGCAGAGGCAGGTCACCTTTGGAGATGTGGTCATTGATTTTCTCTGTTGCTTCATGACAATAATGCGAGTTTTTCACTCACGTAACAAAAAAAAACGAAAATGAAACAACAACCACAACAAAACGAAACAGAACACACACAGAAAAAAAATAAAGACGTGCAAAAGGAGATGGGCTGCTCATTGACCTTTAGGTTAGTGGTGGCTCCTAAAGGAGCCGTTAGTGTTTGTTCGATGACCAAGCGACTGTACTAAGCCCGCTCGCCACGAATCCTTCGAGCCAACTGGATATCCTTCGGCATGATGGTTACGCGTTTGGCGTGGATGGCGCACAGATTGGTATCTTCGAACAGACCCACCAAGTAAGCTTCGCTAGCCTCTTGGAGCGCTAGTACAGCGGAACTTTGGAATCGCAGATCGGTTTTGAAATCCTGCGCGATCTCCCGCACAAGCCGTTGAAAGGGCAACTTGCGGATAAGTAACCCGTAGACTTCTGATAACGACGGATTTCACGGAGTGCAACTGTGCCTGGTCTGTAACGGTGAGGTTTTTCACTTCACGCCACCCGTAGCGGGAGCACTCTTGCGGGCCGCCTTAGTGGCTAACTGTTTACGAGGAGCTTTTCCACCTGTTGATTTCCGGGCGGTTTGCTTTGGTACGAGCCATAGCTAACAAGATTGAGGCTTCAGTCTCGTAATTTCTTCAGAAATTTTACGCTTTTCTCGCGATCTCCTGTGACAAAACCGATTTTATAACAAGCGCTCAACGATCCGATTGGTTATCCAAAGTTTGCTTGTGATTGGCTGCGGTGAATTTCTTTGTTCGGGTACTTTTTTTTTTTTTTTTTTTTTCGAGGATGAGGCGGAAAGTAAATTTTAGTAAACTCTGACCTGCAACTTTTCTCAAAACTGCCCTCGGTTTTCAGTCGCTCGCTTTCGGTGAGTACTCTCGAAAAAGTAATAAACTAATTAGTGAGTGAGTGAGTGAGTGAGTGAGTGAGACTGAATTTGACCATGGATTACTTTGAAGGTTGTGAGTCATTTTCGCTATCCTTTAGCGTGGCCGTGTAGATAGGTGATAATGGTATTCATAAGTCGGCATTTGGCCTGGCTTTCTTGTCAATTGGAAATGTGACGTTTCCCGAGAGGTCCAGCCACACATCTCAAGTTTTGTTCAGGGCCGACAACAATTGCATCCGTAACATTCGAAAGAAAAAACAAATCATGTCTGGACGCGGCAAAGGAGGTAAAGGGCTTGAAAAGGAGGCGCCAAGCGCCATCGAAAGATTCTGCGAGACAACATCCAGGGAATCACCAAGCCAGCAATCCGACGTCTGGCTCGCCGCGGTGGTGTCAAGCGTATTTCCGGGCTCATTTACGAAGAGACCCGCGGAGTCCTCAAAGTCTTCCTGGAAAACGTTATCCGTGATGCTGTGACTTACACCGAACACGCCAAACGGAAGACCGTTACCGCAATGGATGTGGTCTACGCCCTTAAACGCCAAGGCCGTACCCTATACGGTTTTTGGCGGGTAGAGAATCACGGAAACCTCAGAGAACTGATAAACGGCTCCTTTAGGAGCCACCACCTCATGCGAAAGTCGTGATCAGCCACAGTGATGGTCAAACCCTGTGTTTGAACAACGAGTCAAAGGGCGATATTTTTCTGCTCTCAACGTTTCTCCTAATCCTTGTGTTAGCGTTAATGCAGTGTAACTCGAGTCGCTTGTCGTGGTGTGCCAAATAGTCTCTCGTTCCAACAGGGAACTGGGATGGCAGGAAATAGGAAGTAGTAAATTGGAGTTTCAAAAGCCGTGCAAAGCTGGGTTCAGCGAACGTTCTACTCAAATTCTATTACGTTTCCACGCAATGGAACCACGCGTGATCGCACCGTTCTCCAAGTACGTTAGTTCTGATCATTAACACATTTCATTAACACACACATTTCGAGTCGCTTGTCTTGCTATGCAAAATTAGCCCCAAAAAGCCCCAATAAAAATAGCCCCAATAAAACCCTCGTTCCTTATTGGAACGGGGATGGCAAGGAATAGAAAAGATTAAAGCGGGTTTGCAACAACCACGCAAACTTGTGATCAGCGATCGTACCATTCAAACTCAAATGCGTTTCTCTGTCTTGACAGGTAGGAAAGCAGTTTATGCAATTCGCAAATTCCACACTCCAACAATTGAAAGAGAGAGAGACAAGAGCGGGCTGCAAATGTGTCGAGGCATTTTGCAAATCCAAATTACCGTCGTCCAACCAAACGAAAGGAAAACAAAGTCGCCGGCAATGTTTCCAAAAAAACCAAAGCTGATTTGAATTGTCTTTCATTCCGTCTGTTTGATTTTTATTTGCTTTTTATTTCTTTACTAGTTTGGGATCAAAAATACGGAATGTAAGCGATGGACACTAGCTGAACTGAAACGATTTGTTTTGATCGATGACAAAGTAAAGACGCGAGCGCTTGTGTGTGCATGTACGAGTGTCAATTGGAGTAAATGGATTTTTTCACTGATCACGACTTTTTTCGAGGTTTGGTGGCTCCTAAAGGAGCCGTTTTTATGGTTTGATGTTGTCAATGGTGCTTCTTCTCGGCCTTCTTGGGTAGCAGCACGGCCTGTATGTTGGGAAGAACACCGCCCTGGGCGATCGTTACACCAGCTAGAAGTTTGTTCAATTCCTCGTCGTTTCGGACGGCCAACTGCAGGTGTCTGGGAATGATTCTGGTCTTCTTGTTGTCACGAGCGGCGTTTCCGGCTAACTCTAGAATTTCAGCACTTAGATACTCGAGCACAGCGGCCAAGTACACGGGAGCACCCGCCCCGACACGCTCTGCATAGTTTCCTTTGCGAAGGAGTCGGTGGATGCGGCCGACTGGAAACTGAAGACCTGCTCGGCTGGACCTGCTCTTTGCCTTGGTGCCCGACGCTTTTCCTTTCCCTCGGCCGGTCATTTTAGTTTTCTCTCTCAGACTAGCTCGTGCTAGGACACACACTGAAATCCAACGATTTTGTTGTTCAAATTGTGACGCGTTCCGAGTCGTGACGCCGTACTTATCTCGCGGCTCGCGCGCGCTAAGGGATCGAAACCCTCCATCAAAAATTAATTCCGCCCTCTGTTGCCTCGTAGTCTTTTGTTCCTTTCACAGCTGTATCTGAGCCAATCGCTTCAAAGAGAATTTTCGTCGGCATACTAATTGATCCTCAACAATGGACCTTAAATAGGGAGTCAATTCTCCTGTCTAGTCACACACCTCAGTCTATTTTTGAGAGAACGGTGATAGATTTTTCTAGACATGGCACCAAAAGTTCCCGCGGCCGGAAAAGGCGAGAAGAGAGCCGGCAAGGCTAAATCAGCCCCGACGGACCCTGGCAAGAAAAAAAGAAGAGAAGCAAGAGAAAGGAGAGCTATGCGATCTACATCTACAAAGTGTTGAAACAGGTGCACCCCGACACCGGTATCTCCAGCAAAGCCATGGGTATCATGAACTCGTTTGTCAACGATGTCTTTGAACGCATCGCGACCGAATCCTCGCGGCTCGCGCACTACAGCAAGAAATCCACCATCAGCTCTCGCGAAATCCAGACCGCCATTAGGTTACTGTTACCGGGCGAACTCGCAAAACACGCAGTAAGCGAGGGTACAAAAGCAGTCACCAAATATACAAGCAGCAAGTGAACTGCCCGACCTCACAAAAACAAACGGCTCCTTTAGGAGCCAACACATGTCATGAAAGTAAATGTCCAACATTGTTGTTGTTTTTGTTGTTGTTCTTGTTCTTGTTCTTGTTCTTGTTCTTGTTCTTGTTCTTGTTCTTGTTCTTGTTCTTGTTCTTGTTCTTGTTCTTGTTCTTGTTCTTGTTCTTGTTCTTGTTCTTGTTCTTGTTCTTGTTCTTTTTCTTGTTCTTGTTCTTTTTCTTGTTCTTTTTTTTTTTTTTCTTTCTTTCTTTTTTTTTTTTTTTTTTTTTTTTTTTCTTTTTCTTTTTTTTTTTTTTTTTCTTTCCTTTTTTTCGGGTACGTAAATGTTGGAGCTCGAAGCAGATCGATCCAGGAAGGAACTCTAAAAATACTTCTCGCCAAAAACAGTTTTGACCGATTTCCCTTTCACTGTTCACAGATTTGGTGCCAAAGCGAGAACTGTTTTTAGACTTACTAAAATTTCTTCCGAATGAAATCAAGAATTCCCGACCCAAAAAAAAATTTTATATTTCCCAGAATGCATTGCGAAAAAAAGCCTCATTAATATGTATTACATCCTTCCCCAGTTGTTGTTGTTCTTTCTTTCTATTTCGAATCTCTGATTTTTATTCAGTCAAACTCAGTTTCAGTGAACATGTTTTGCTGGTGCGAATGAGTTATTAATCTAGTACAAAAGGCAGGTGCATGGGGGCGTATCCGTTGGTAATAACTAACTTGCTTTTGGCAAGTAAGGAACATGAAAAGGCAACAACATTGAATTAAAAGTCGGAACCAATTATACGAACGACTGAAAGCGCAATTGGAGACCTTTATGTTTGTCTGGTACAAACAAACACACGCTGTTACCGAACGGTAATAACGTAGAGATTGAGGTAATTGCGCCTGCTTAAAAAGAGGCTCTTGTTCTTGTTCTTTGTTTTTTTTTTTATTTTTTTTTTTTTTTTTTTTTTTGGCAAGGAACAAGAAAAGACAGCGGCAATGAATTGAAACGTCGTTACAAATTATACGAACGGCTGAAAGCGCAAAATGGTGACCTTTATGTTTGTCTAGTTCGAGCAAACTCACGGAAAACGCATCAAAACAGTTGACCTCCGTCGCTGCTCACTTTCTGTCAAATTTTTGTCGCGAATCAAACCGAGAGTCGATCGCTCGCTTTTTGTCTACGTCGACATTTTTTGCAGCAGAGGCAGGTCACCTTTGGAGATGTGGTCATTGATTTTCTCTGTTGCTTCATGACAATAATGCGAGTTTTTCACTCACGTAACAAAAACCACGAAAATGAAACAACAACCACAACAAAACGAAACAGAACACACACAGAAAAAATTAAAGACGTGCAAAAGGAGATGGGCTGCTCATTGACCTTTAGGTTAGTGGTGGCTCCTAAAGGAGCCGTTAGTGTTTGTTCGATGACCAAGCGACTGTACTAAGCCCGCTCGCCACGAATCCTTCGAGCCAACTGGATATCCTTCGGCATGATGGTTACGCGTTTGGCGTGGATGGCGCACAGATTGGTATCTTCGAACAGACCCACCAAGTAAGCTTCGCTAGCCTCTTGGAGCGCTAGTACAGCGGAACTTTGGAATCGCAGATCGGTTTTGAAATCCTGCGCGATCTCCCGCACAAGCCGTTGAAAGGGCAACTTGCGGATAAGTAACTCCGTAGACTTCTGATAACGACGGATTTCACGGAGTGCAACTGTGCCTGGTCTGTAACGGTGAGGTTTCTTGACGCCACCCGTAGCGGGAGCACTCTTGCGGGCCGCCTTAGTGGCTAACTGTTTACGAGGAGCTTTTCCACCTGTTGATTTCCGGGCGGTTTGCTTGGTACGAGCCATAGCTAACAAGATTGGAGGCTTCAGTCTCGTAATTTCTTCAGAAATTTTACGCTTTTCTCGCGATCTCCTGTGACAAAACCGATTTTATAACAAGCGCTCAACGATCCGATTGGTTATCCAAAGTTTGCTTGTGATTGGCTGCGGTGAATTTCTTTGTTCGGGTACTTTTTTTTTTTTTTTTTTTCCGAGGATGAGGCGGAAAGTAAATTTTAGTAAACTCTGACCTGCAACTTTTCTCAAAACTGCCCTCGGTTTTCAGTCGCTCGCTTTCGGTGAGTACTCTCGAAAAAGTAATAAACTAATTAGTGAGTGAGTGAGTGAGTGAGTGAGTGAGACTGAATTTGACCATGGATTACTTTGAAGGTTGTGAGTCATTTTCGCTATCCTTTAGCGTGGCCGTGTAGATAGGTGATAATGGTATTCATAAGTCGGCATTTGGCCTGGCTTTCTTGTCAATTGGGAAATGTGACGTTTCCCGAGAGGTCCAGCCACACATCTCAAGTTTTGTTCAGGGCCGACAACAATTGCATCCGTAACATTCGAAAGAAAAACAAATCATGTCTGGACGCGGCAAAGGAGGTAAAGGGCTTGGAAAAGGAGGCGCCAAGCGCCATCGAAAGATTCTGCGAGACAACATCCAGGGAATCACCAAGCCAGCAATCCGACGTCTGGCTCGCCGCGGTGGTGTCAAGCGTATTTCCGGGCTCATTTACGAAGAGACCCGCGGAGTCCTCAAAGTCTTCCTGGAAAACGTTATCCGTGATGCTGTGACTTACACCGAACACGCCAAACGGAAGACCGTTACCGCAATGGATGTGGTCTACGCCCTTAAACGCCAAGGCCGTACCCTATACGGTTTTGGCGGGTAGAGAATCACGGAAACCTCAGAGAACTGATAAACGGCTCCTTTAGGAGCCACCACCTCATGCGAAAGTCGTGATCAGCCACAGTGATGGTCAAACCCTGTGTTTGAACAACGAGTCAAAGGGCGATATTTTTCTGCTCTCAACGTTTCTCCTAATCCTTGTGTTAGCGTTAATGCAGTGTAACTCGAGTCGCTTGTCGTGGTGTGCCAAATAGTCTCTCGTTCCAACAGGGAACTGGGATGGCAGGAAATAGGAAGTAGTAAATTGAGTTTCAAAAGCCGTGCAAAGCTGGGTTCAGCGAACGTTCTACTCAAATTCTATTACGTTTCCACGCAATGGAACCACGCGTGATCGCACCGTTCTCCAAGTACGTTAGTTCTGATCATTAACACATTTCATTAACACACACATTTCGAGTCGCTTGTCTTGCTATGCAAAATTAGCCCCAAAAAGCCCCAATAAAAATAGCCCCAATAAAGTACCTCGTTCCTTATTGGAACGGGGATGGCAAGGAATAGAAAAGATTAAAGCGGGTTTGCAACAACCACGCAAACTTGTGATCAGCGATCGTACCATTCAAACTCAAATGCGTTTCTCTGTCTTGACAGGTAGGAAAGCAGTTTATGCAATTCGCAAATTCCACACTCCAACAATTGAAAGAGAGAGAGACAAGAGCGGGCTGCAAATGTGTCGAGGCATTTTGCAAATCCAAATTACCGTCGTCCAACCAAACGAAAGGAAAACAAAAGTCGCCGGCAATGTTTCCAAAAAAAAAAAGCTGATTTGAATTGTCTTTCATTCCGTCTGTTTGATTTTTTTATTTGCTTTTTTTCTTTTTTTACTAGTTTGGGATCAAAAATACGGAATGTAAGCGATGGACACTAGCTGAACTGAAACGATTTGTTTTGATCGATGACAAAGTAAAGACGCGAGCGCTTGTGTGTGCATGTACGAGTGTCAATTGGAGTAAATGGATTTTTTCACTGATCACGACTTTTTTCGAGGTTTGGTGGCTCCTAAAGGAGCCGTTTTTATGGTTTGATGTTGTCAATGGTGCTTCTTCTCGGCCTTCTTGGGTAGCAGCACGGCCTGTATGTTGGGAAGAACACCGCCCTGGGCGATCGTTACACCAGCTAGAAGTTTGTTCAATTCCTCGTCGTTTCGGACGGCCAACTGCAGGTGTCTGGGAATGATTCTGGTCTTCTTGTTGTCACGAGCGGCGTTTCCGGCTAACTCTAGAATTTCAGCACTTAGATACTCGAGCACAGCGGCCAAGTACACGGGAGCACCCGCCCCGACACGCTCTGCATAGTTTCCTTTGCGAAGGAGTCGGTGGATGCGGCCGACTGGAAACTGAAGACCTGCTCGGCTGGACCTGCTCTTTGCCTTGGTGCCCGACGCTTTTCCTTTCCCTCGGCCGGTCATTTTAGTTTTCTCTCTCAGACTAGCTCGTGCTAGGACACACACTGAAATCCAACGATTTTGTTGTTCAATTGTGACGCGTTCCGAGTCGTGACGCCGTACTTATCTCGCGGCTCGCGCGCGCTAAGGGATCGAAACCCTCCAATCAAAATTAATTCCGCCCTCTGTTGCCTCGTAGTCTTTTGTTCCTTTCACAGCTGTATCTGAGCCAATCGCTTCAAAGAGAATTTTCGTCGGCATACTAATTGATCCTCAACAATGGACCTTAAATAGGGAGTCAATTCTCCTGTCTAGTCACACACCTCAGTCTATTTTTTTTGAGAACGGTGATAGATTTTTCTAGACATGGCACCAAAAGTTCCCGCGGCCGGAAAAGGCGAGAAGAGAGCCGGCAAGGCTAAATCAGCCCCGACGGACCCTGGCAAGAAAAAAAAAGAAGAGAAGCAAGAGAAAGGAGAGCTATGCGATCTACATCTACAAAGTGTTGAAACAGGTGCACCCCGACACCGGTATCTCCAGCAAAGCCATGGGTATCATGAACTCGTTTGTCAACGATGTCTTTGAACGCATCGCGACCGAATCCTCGCGGCTCGCGCACTACAGCAAGAAATCCACCATCAGCTCTCGCGAAATCCAGACCGCCATTAGGTTACTGTTACCGGGCGAACTCGCAAAACACGCAGTAAGCGAGGGTACAAAAGCAGTCACCAAATATACAAGCAGCAAGTGAACTGCCCGACCTCACAAACAAACGGCTCCTTTAGGAGCCAACACATGTCATGAAAGTAAATGTCCAACATTGTTGTTGTTTTTGTTGTTGTTCTTGTTCTTGTTCTTGTTCTTGTTCTTGTTCTTGTTCTTGTTCTTGTTCTTGTTCTTGTTCTTCTTGTTCTTGTTCTTGTTCTTGTTCTTGTTCTTGTTCTTTCTTCTTGTTCTTGTTCTTGTTCTTGTTCTTGTTCTTGTTCTTGTTCTTGTTCTTGTTCTTGTTCTTTTCTTTTCTTTTTTTCTTTCTTTCTTTCTTTCTTTCTTTCTTTTTCTTTCTTTCTTTCCTTTTTTTTTTTTTTTTTTTTTTTTTTCGAGGTACGTAAATGTTGGAGCTCGAAGCAGATCGATCCAGGAAGGAACTCTAAAAATACTTCTCGCCAAAAAACAGTTTTGACCGATTTCCCTTTCACTGTTCACAGATTTGGTGCCAAAGCGAGAACTGTTTTTAGACTTACTAAAATTTCTTCCGAATGAAATCAAGAATTCCCGACCCAAAAAAAAAAAATTTTATATTTCCCAGAATGCATTGCGAAAAAAAAGCCTCATTAATATGTATTACATCCTTCCCCAGTTGTTGTTGTTCTTTCTTTCTATTTCGAATCTCTGATTTTTATTCAGTCAAACTCAGTTTCAGTGAACATGTTTTGCTGGTGCGAATGAGTTATTAATCTAGTACAAAAGGCAGGTGCATGGGGGCGTATCCGTTGGTAATAACTAACTTGCTTTTGGCAAGTAAGGAACATGAAAAGGCAACAACATTGAATTAAAAGTCGGAACCAATTATACGAACGACTGAAAGCGCAATTGAGACCTTTATGTTTGTCTGGTACAAACAAACACACGCTGTTACCGAACGGTAATAACGTAGAGATTGAGGTAATTGCGCCTGCTTAAAAAGAGGCTCTTGTTCTTGTTCTTTGTTTTTTTTTTTTTTTATTTTTTTTTTTTTTTGCCAAGTAAGGAACAAGAAAAGACAGCGGCAATGAATTGAAACGTCGTTACAAATTATACGAACGGCTGAAAGCGCAAAATGGTGACCTTTATGTTTGTCTAGTTCGAGCAAACTCACGGAAAACGCATCAAAACAGTTGACCTCCGTCGCTGCTCACTTTCTGTCAAATTTTTGTCGCGAATCAAACCGAGAGTCGATCGCTCGCTTTTTGTCTACGTCGACATTTTTTCAGAGAGGCAGGTCACCTTTGGAGATGTGGTCATTGATTTTCTCTGTTGCTTCATGACAATAATGCGAGTTTTTCACTCACGTAACAAAAACCACGAAAATGAAACAACAACCACAACAAAACGAAACAGAACACACACAGAAAAAAAAATAAAGACGTGCAAAAGGAGATGGGCTGCTCATTGACCTTTAGGTTAGTGGTGGCTCCTAAAGGAGCCGTTAGTGTTTGTTCGATGACCAAGCGACTGTACTAAGCCCGCTCGCCACGAATCCTTCGAGCCAACTGGATATCCTTCGGCATGATGGTTACGCGTTTGGCGTGGATGGCGCACAGATTGGTATCTTCGAACAGACCCACCAAGTAAGCTTCGCTAGCCTCTTGGAGCGCTAGTACAGCGGAACTTTGGAATCGCAGATCGGTTTTGAAATCCTGCGCGATCTCCCGCACAAGCCGTTGAAAGGGCAACTTGCGGATAAGTAACTCCGTAGACTTCTGATAACGACGGATTTCACGGAGTGCAACTGTGCCTGGTCTGTAACGGTGAGGTTTCTTGACGCCACCCGTAGCGGGAGCACTCTTGCGGGCCGCCTTAGTGGCTAACTGTTTACGAGGAGCTTTTCCACCTGTTGATTTTTCCGGGCGGTTTGCTTGGTACGAGCCATAGCTAACAAGATTGAGGCTTCAGTCTCGTAATTTCTTCAGAAATTTTACGCTTTTCTCGCGATCTCCTGTGACAAAACCGATTTTATAACAAGCGCTCAACGATCCGATTGGTTATCCAAAGTTTGCTTGTGATTGGCTGCGGTGAATTTCTTTGTTCGGGTACTTTTTTTTTTTTTTTTTTTCCGGGATGAGGCGGAAAGTAAATTTTAGTAAACTCTGACCTGCAACTTTTCTCAAAACTGCCCTCGGTTTTCAGTCGCTCGCTTTCGGTGAGTACTCTCGAAAAAGTAATAAACTAATTAGTGAGTGAGTGAGTGAGTGAGTGAGTGAGACTGAATTTGACCATGGATTACTTTGAAGGTTGTGAGTCATTTTCGCTATCCTTTAGCGTGGCCGTGTAGATAGGTGATAATGGTATTCATAAGTCGGCATTTGGCCTGGCTTTCTTGTCAATTGGAAATGTGACGTTTCCCGAGAGGTCCAGCCACACATCTCAAGTTTTGTTCAGGGCCGACAACAATTGCATCCGTAACATTCGAAAGAAAAAAAAATCATGTCTGGACGCGGCAAAGGAGGTAAAGGGCTTGGAAAAGGAGGCGCCAAGCGCCATCGAAAGATTCTGCGAGACAACATCCAGGGAATCACCAAGCCAGCAATCCGACGTCTGGCTCGCCGCGGTGGTGTCAAGCGTATTTCCGGGCTCATTTACGAAGAGACCCGCGGAGTCCTCAAAGTCTTCCTGGAAAACGTTATCCGTGATGCTGTGACTTACACCGAACACGCCAAACGGAAGACCGTTACCGCAATGGATGTGGTCTACGCCCTTAAACGCCAAGGCCGTACCCTATACGGTTTTGGCGGGTAGAGAATCACGGAAACCTCAGAGAACTGATAAACGGCTCCTTTAGGAGCCACCACCTCATGCGAAAGTCGTGATCAGCCACAGTGATGGTCAAACCCTGTGTTTGAACAACGAGTCAAAGGGCGATATTTTTCTGCTCTCAACGTTTCTCCTAATCCTTGTGTTAGCGTTAATGCAGTGTAACTCGAGTCGCTTGTCGTGGTGTGCCAAATAGTCTCTCGTTCCAACAGGGAACTGGGATGGCAGGAAATAGGAAGTAGTAAATTGGGAGTTTCAAAAGCCGTGCAAAGCTGGGTTCAGCGAACGTTCTACTCAAATTCTATTACGTTTCCACGCAATGGAACCACGCGTGATCGCACCGTTCTCCAAGTACGTTAGTTCTGATCATTAACACATTTCATTAACACACACATTTCGAGTCGCTTGTCTTGCTATGCAAAATTAGCCCCAAAAAAGCCCCAATAAAAATAGCCCCAATAAAAGTACCTCGTTCCTTATTGGAACGGGGATGGCAAGGAATAGAAAAGATTAAAGCGGGTTTGCAACAACCACGCAAACTTGTGATCAGCGATCGTACCATTCAAACTCAAATGCGTTTCTCTGTCTTGACAGGTAGGAAAGCAGTTTATGCAATTCGCAAATTCCACACTCCAACAATTGAAAGAGAGAGAGACAAGAGCGGGCTGCAAATGTGTCGAGGCATTTTGCAAATCCAAATTACCGTCGTCCAACCAAACGAAAGGAAAACAAAGTCGCCGGCAATGTTTCCAAAAAAACCAAAGCTGATTTGAATTGTCTTTCATTCCGTCTGTTTGATTTTTATTTGCTTTTTATTTCTTTTACTAGTTTGGGATCAAAAATACGGAATGTAAGCGATGGACACTAGCTGAACTGAAACGATTTGTTTTGATCGATGACAAAGTAAAGACGCGAGCGCTTGTGTGTGCATGTACGAGTGTCAATTGGAGTAAATGGATTTTTTCACTGATCACGACTTTTTTCGAGGTTTGGTGGCTCCTAAAGGAGCCGTTTTTATGGTTTGATGTTGTCAATGGTGCTTCTTCTCGGCCTTCTTGGGTAGCAGCACGGCCTGTATGTTGGGAAGAACACCGCCCTGGGCGATCGTTACACCAGCTAGAAGTTTGTTCAATTCCTCGTCGTTTCGGACGGCCAACTGCAGGTGTCTGGGAATGATTCTGGTCTTCTTGTTGTCACGAGCGGCGTTTCCGGCTAACTCTAGAATTTCAGCACTTAGATACTCGAGCACAGCGGCCAAGTACACGGGAGCACCCGCCCCGACACGCTCTGCATAGTTTCCTTTGCGAAGGAGTCGGTGGATGCGGCCGACTGGAAACTGAAGACCTGCTCGGCTGGACCTGCTTTTGCCTTGGTGCCCGACGCTTTTCCTTTCCCTCGGCCGGTCATTTTAGTTTTCTCTCGCAGACTAGCTCGTGCTAGGACACACACTGAAATCCAACGATTTTGTTGTTCAAATTGTGACGCGTTCCGAGTCGTGACGCCGTACTTATCTCGCGGCTCGCGCGCGCTAAGGGATCGAAACCCTCCAATCAAAATTAATTCCGCCCTCTGTTGCCTCGAGTCTTTTGTTCCTTTCACAGCTGTATCTGAGCCAATCGCTTCAAAGAGAATTTTCGTCGGCATACTAATTGATCCTCAACAATGGACCTTAAATAGGAGTCAATTCTCCTGTCTAGTCACACACCTCAGTCTATTTTTGAGAGAACGGTGATAGATTTTTCTAGACATGGCACCAAAAGTTCCCGCGGCCGGAAAAGGCGAGAAGAGAGCCGGCAAGGCTAAATCAGCCCCGACGGACCCTGGCAAGAAAAAAGAAGAAGAAGCAAGAGAAAGGAGAGCTATGCGATCTACATCTACAAAGTGTTGAAACAGGTGCACCCCGACACCGGTATCTCCAGCAAAGCCATGGGTATCATGAACTCGTTTGTCAACGATGTCTTTGAACGCATCGCGACCGAATCCTCGCGGCTCGCGCACTACAACAAGAAATCCACCATCAGCTCTCGCGAAATCCAGACCGCCATTAGGTTACTGTTACCGGGCGAACTCGCAAAACACGCAGTAAGCGAGGGTACAAAAGCAGTCACCAAATATACAAGCAGCAAGTGAACTGCCCGACCTCACAAACAAACGGCTCCTTTAGGAGCCAACACATGTCATGAAAGTAAATGTCCAACATTGTTGTTGTTTTTTTTGTTGTTGTTGTTGTTGTTCTTGTTCTTGTTCTTGTTCTTGTTCTTGTTCTTGTTCTTGTTCTTGTTCTTGTTCTTGTTCTTCTTCTTGTTCTTGTTGTTCTTGTTCTTGTTCTTGTTCTTGTTCTTGTTCTTGTTCTTGTTCTTGTTCTTGTTCTTGTTCTTGTTTTTGTTTTTCTTTTTTTCTTTTTCTTTCTTTCTTTCTTTCTTTCTTTCTTTCTTTCTTTTTTTTTTTTTTTTTTTTTTTTTTTCGAGGTACGTAAATGTTGGAGCTCGAAGCAGATCGATCCAGGAAGGAACTCTAAAAATACTTCTCGCCAAAAAGAGTTTTGACCGATTTCCCTTTCACTGTTCACAGATTTGGTGCCAAAGCGAGAACTGTTTTTAGACTTACTAAAATTTCTTCCGAATGAAATCAAGAATTCCCGACCCAAAAAAAAAAAAATTATATTTCCCAGAATGCATTGCGAAAAAAAAAAGCCTCATTAATATGTATTACATCCTTCCCCAGTTGTTGTTGTTCTTTCTTTCTATTTCGAATCTCTGATTTTTATTCAGTCAAACTCAGTTTCAGTGAACATGTTTTGCTGGTGCGAATGAGTTATTAATCTAGTACAAAAGGCAGGTGCATGGGGGCGTATCCGTTGGTAATAACTAACTTGCTTTTGGCAAGTAAGGAACATGAAAAGGCAACAACATTGAATTAAAAGTCGGAACCAATTATACGAACGACTGAAAGCGCAATTGAGACCTTTATGTTTGTCTGGTACAAACAAACACACGCTGTTACCGAACGGTAATAACGTAGAGATTGAGGTAATTGCGCCTGCTTAAAAAGAGGCTCTTGTTCTTGTTCTTTTTTTTTTTTTTTATTTTTTTTTTTTTTTTTGCCAAGTAAGGAACAAGAAAAGACAGCGGCAATGAATTGAAACGTCGTTACAAATTATACGAACGGCTGAAAGCGCAAAATGGTGACCTTTATGTTTGTCTAGTTCGAGCAAACTCACGGAAAACGCATCAAAACAGTTGACCTCCGTCGCTGCTCACTTTCTGTCAAATTTTTGTCGCGAATCAAACCGAGAGTCGATCGCTCGCTTTTTGTCTACGTCGACATTTTTTCTGCAGAGGCAGGTCACCTTTGGAGATGTGGTCATTGATTTTCTCTGTTGCTTCATGACAATAATGCGAGTTTTTCACTCACGTAACAAAAACCACGAAAATGAAACAACAACCACAACAAAACGAAACAGAACACACACAGAAAAATTAAAGACGTGCAAAAGGAGATGGGCTGCTCATTGACCTTTAGGTTAGTGGTGGCTCCTAAAGGAGCCGTTAGTGTTTGTTCGATGACCAAGCGACTGTACTAAGCCCGCTCGCCACGAATCCTTCGAGCCAACTGGATATCCTTCGGCATGATGGTTACGCGTTTGGCGTGGATGGCGCACAGATTGGTATCTTCGAACAGACCCACCAAGTAAGCTTCGCTAGCCTCTTGGAGCGCTAGTACAGCGGAACTTTGGAATCGCAGATCGGTTTTGAAATCCTGCGCGATCTCCCGCACAAGCCGTTGAAAGGGCAACTTGCGGATAAGTAACTCCGTAGACTTCTGATAACGACGGATTTCACGGAGTGCAACTGTGCCTGGTCTGTAACGGTGAGGTTTCTTCACGCCACCCGTAGCGGGAGCACTCTTGCGGGCCGCCTTAGTGGCTAACTGTTTACGAGGAGCTTTTCCACCTGTTGATTTCCGGGCGGTTTGCTTGGTACGAGCCATAGCTAACAAGATTGAGGGCTTCAGTCTCGTAATTTCTTCAGAAATTTTACGCTTTTCTCGCGATCTCCTGTGACAAAACCGATTTTAAAACAAGCGCTCAACGATCCGATTGGTTATCCAAAGTTTGCTTGTGATTGGCTGCGGTGAATTTCTTTGTTCGGGTACTTTTTTTTTTTTTTTTCCGAGGATGAGGCGGAAAGTAAATTTTAGTAAACTCTGACCTGCAACTTTTCTCAAAACTGCCCTCGGTTTTCAGTCGCTCGCTTTCGGTGAGTACTCTCGAAAAAGTAATAAACTAATTAGTGAGTGAGTGAGTGAGTGAGACTGAATTTGACCATGGATTACTTTGAAGGTTGTGAGTCATTTTCGCTATCCTTTAGCGTGGCCGTGTAGATAGGTGATAATGGTATTCATAAGTCGGCATTTGGCCTGGCTTTCTTGTCAATTGAAATGTGACGTTTCCCGAGAGGTCCAGCCACACATCTCAAGTTTTGTTCAGGGCCGACAACAATTGCATCCGTAACATTCGAAAAAAAAAAAAACAAATCATGTCTGGACGCGGCAAAGGAGGTAAAGGGCTTGAAAAGGAGGCGCCAAGCGCCATCGAAAGATTCTGCGAGACAACATCCAGGGAATCACCAAGCCAGCAATCCGACGTCTGGCTCGCCGCGGTGGTGTCAAGCGTATTTCCGGGCTCATTTACGAAGAGACCCGCGGAGTCCTCAAAGTCTTCCTGGAAAACGTTATCCGTGATGCTGTGACTTACACCGAACACGCCAAACGGAAGACCGTTACCGCAATGGATGTGGTCTACGCCCTTAAACGCCAAGGCCGTACCCTATACGGTTTTGGCGGGTAGAGAATCACGGAAACCTCAGAGAACTGATAAACGGCTCCTTTAGGAGCCACCACCTCATGCGAAAGTCGTGATCAGCCACAGTGATGGTCAAACCCTGTGTTTGAACAACGAGTCAAAGGGCGATATTTTTCTGCTCTCAACGTTTCTCCTAATCCTTGTGTTAGCGTTAATGCAGTGTAACTCGAGTCGCTTGTCGTGGTGTGCCAAATAGTCTCTCGTTCCAACAGGGAACTGGGATGGCAGGAAATAGGAAGTAGTAAATTGAGTTTCAAAAGCCGTGCAAAGCTGGGTTCAGCGAACGTTCTACTCAAATTCTATTACGTTTCCACGCAATGGAACCACGCGTGATCGCACCGTTCTCCAAGTACGTTAGTTCTGATCATTAACACATTTCATTAACACACACATTTCGAGTCGCTTGTCTTGCTATGCAAAATTAGCCCCAAAAAAAGCCCCAATAAAAATAGCCCCAATAAAAGTACCTCGTTCCTTATTGGAACGGGGATGGCAAGGAATAGAAAAAAGATTAAAGCGGGTTTGCAACAACCACGCAAACTTGTGATCAGCGATCGTACCATTCAAACTCAAATGCGTTTCTCTGTCTTGACAGGTAGGAAAGCAGTTTATGCAATTCGCAAATTCCACACTCCAACAATTGAAAGAGAGAGAGACAAGAGCGGGCTGCAAATGTGTCGAGGCATTTTGCAAATCCAAATTACCGTCGTCCAACCAAACGAAAGGAAAACAAAGTCGCCGGCAATGTTTCCAAAAAAAAACCAAAGCTGATTTGAATTGTCTTTCATTCCGTCTGTTTGATTTTTATTTGCTTTTTATTTCTTTTACTAGTTTGGGATCAAAAATACGGAATGTAAGCGATGGACACTAGCTGAACTGAAACGATTTGTTTTGATCGATAACAAAGTAAAGACGCGAGCGCTTGTGTGTGCATGTACGAGTGTCAATTGGAGTAAATGGATTTTTTCACTGATCACGACTTTTTTCGAGGTTTGGTGGCTCCTAAAGGAGCCGTTTTTATGGTTTGATGTTGTCAATGGTGCTTCTTCTCGGCCTTCTTGGGTAGCAGCACGGCCTGTATGTTGGGAAGAACACCGCCCTGGGCGATCGTTACACCAGCTAGAAGTTTGTTCAATTCCTCGTCGTTTCGGACGGCCAACTGCAGGTGTCTGGGAATGATTCTGGTCTTCTTGTTGTCACGAGCGGCGTTTCCGGCTAACTCTAGAATTTCAGCACTTAGATACTCGAGCACAGCGGCCAAGTACACGGGAGCACCCGCCCCGACACGCTCTGCATAGTTTCCTTTGCGAAGGAGTCGGTGGATGCGGCCGACTGGAAACTGAAGACCTGCTCGGCTGGACCTGCTCTTTGCCTTGGTGCCCGACGCTTTTCCTTTCCCTCGGCCGGTCATTTTAGTTTTCTCTCGCAACTAGCTCGTGCTAGGACACACACTGAAATCCAACGATTTTGTTGTTCAAATTGTGACGCGTTCCGAGTCGTGACGCCGTACTTATCTCGCGGCTCGCGCGCGCTAAGGGATCGAAACCCTCCAATCAAAATTAATTCCGCCCTCTGTTGCCTCGTAGTCTTTTGTTCCTTTCACAGCTGTATCTGAGCCAATCGCTTCAAAGAGAATTTTCGTCGGCATACTAATTGATCCTCAACAATGGACCTTAAATAGGGAGTCAATTCTCCTGTCTAGTCACACACCTCAGTCTATTTTTGAGCGAACGGTGATAGATTTTTCTAGACATGGCACCAAAAGTTCCCGCGGCCGGAAAAGGCGAGAAGAGAGCCGGCAAGGCTAAATCAGCCCCGACGGACCCTGGCAAGAAAAAGAAGAGAAGCAAGAGAAAGGAGAGCTATGCGATCTACATCTACAAAGTGTTGAAACAGGTGCACCCCGACACCGGTATCTCCAGCAAAGCCATGGGTATCATGAACTCGTTTGTCAACGATGTCTTTGAACGCATCGCGACCGAATCCTCGCGGCTCGCGCACTACAACAAGAAATCCACCATCAGCTCTCGCGAAATCCAGACCGCCATTAGGTTACTGTTACCGGGCGAACTCGCAAAACACGCAGTAAGCGAGGGTACAAAAGCAGTCACCAAATATACAAGCAGCAAGTGAACTGCCCGACCTCAAAACAAACGGCTCCTTTAGGAGCCAACACATGTCATGAAAGTAAATGTCCAACATTGTTGTTGTTTTTGTTGTTGTTCTTGTTCTTGTTCTTGTTCTTGTTCTTGTTCTTGTTCTTGTTCTTGTTCTTGTTCTTGTTCTTGTTCTTGTTCTTGTTCTTGTTCTTGTTCTTGTTCTTGTTCTTGTTCTTGTTCTTGTTCTTGTTCTTGTTCTTGTTCTTGTTCTTGTTCTTGTTCTTGTTCTTGTTTTTCTTTCTTTCTTTCTTTCTTTCTTTCTTTCTTTCTTTTTTCTTTCTTTTTTTTTTTTTCTTTTTTTTTTTTTTCGAGGTACGTAAATGTTGGAGCTCGAAGCAGATCGATCCAGGAAGGAACTCTAAAAATACTTCTCGCCAAAAAAACAGTTTTGACCGATTTCCCTTTCACTGTTCACAGATTTGGTGCCAAAGCGAGAACTGTTTTTAGACTTACTAAAATTTCTTCCGAATGAAATCAAGAATTCCCGACCCAAAAAAAAAAAAAATTTTATATTTCCCAGAATGCATTGCGAAAAAAAAAGCCTCATTAATATGTATTACATCCTTCCCCAGTTGTTGTTGTTCTTTCTTTCCATTTCGAATCTCTGATTTTTATTCAGTCAAACTCAGTTTCAGTGAACATGTTTTGCTGGTGCGAATGAGTTATTAATCTAGTACAAAAGGCAGGTGCATGGGGGCGTATCCGTTGGTAATAACTAACTTGCTTTTGGCAAGTAAGGAACATGAAAAGGCAACAACATTGAATTAAAAGTCGGAACCAATTATACGAACGACTGAAAGCGCAATTGGAGACCTTTATGTTTGTCTGGTACAAACAAACACACGCTGTTACCGAACGGTAATAACGTAGAGATTGAGGTAATTGCGCCTGCTTAAAAAGAGGCTCTTGTTCTTGTTCTTTGTTTTTTTTTGTTTATTTTTGTTTTTTTTTTGCCAAGTAAGGAACAAGAAAAGACAGCGGCAATGAATTGAAACGTCGTTACAAATTATACGAACGGCTGAAAGCGCAAAATGGTGACCTTTATGTTTGTCTAGTTCGAGCAAACTCACGGAAAACGCATCAAAACAGTTGACCTCCGTCGCTGCTCACTTTCTGTCAAATTTTTCGTCGAATCAAACCGAGAGTCGATCGCTCGCTTTTTGTCTACGTCGACATTTTTTCTGCAGAGGCAGGTCACCTTTGGAGATGTGGTCATTGATTTTCTCTGTTGCTTCATGACAATAATGCGAGTTTTTCACTCACGTAACAAAAACCACGAAAATGAAACAACAACCACAACAAAACGAAACAGAACACACACAGAAAAAAATTAAAGACGTGCGAAAGGAGATGGGCTGCTCATTGACCTTTAGGTTAGTGGTGGCTCCTAAAGGAGCCGTTAGTGTTTGTTCGATGACCAAGCGACTGTACTAAGCCCGCTCGCCACGAATCCTTCGAGCCAACTGGATATCCTTCGGCATGATGGTTACGCGTTTGGCGTGGATGGCGCACAGATTGGTATCTTCGAACAGACCCACCAAGTAAGCTTCGCTAGCCTCTTGGAGCGCTAGTACAGCGGAACTTTGGAATCGCAGATCGGTTTTGAAATCCTGCGCGATCTCCCGCACAAGCCGTTGAAAGGGCAACTTGCGGATAAGTAACCCGTAGACTTCTGATAACGACGGATTTCACGGAGTGCAACTGTGCCTGGTCTGTAACGGTGAGGTTTCTTCACGCCACCCGTAGCGGGAGCACTCTTGCGGGCCGCCTTAGTGGCTAACTGTTTACGAGGAGCTTTTCCACCTGTTGATTTCCGGGCGGTTTGCTTGGTACGAGCCATAGCTAACAAGATTGGAGGCTTCAGTCTCGTAATTTCTTCAGAAATTTTACGCTTTTCTCGCGATCTCCTGTGACAAAACCGATTTTATAACAAGCGCTCAACGATCCGATTGGTTATCCAAAGTTTGCTTGTGATTGGCTGCGGTGAATTTCTTTGTTCGGGTACTCTTTTTTTTTTTTTTCCGAGGATGAGGCGGAAAGTAAATTTTAGTAAACTCTGACCTGCAACTTTTCTCAAAACTGCCCTCGGTTTTCAGTCGCTCGCTTTCGGTGAGTACTCTCGAAAAAGTAATAAACTAATTAGTGAGTGAGTGAGTGAGTGAGTGAGTGAGACTGAATTTGACCATGGATTACTTTGAAGGTTGTGAGTCATTTTCGCTATCCTTTAGCGTGGCCGTGTAGATAGGTGATAATGGTATTCATAAGTCGGCATTTGGCCTGGCTTTCTTGTCAATTGGAAATGTGACGTTTCCCGAGAGGTCCAGCCACACATCTCAAGTTTTGTTCAGGGCCGACAACAATTGCATCCGTAACATTCGAAAGAAAAAAACAAATCATGTCTGGACGCGGCAAAGGAGGTAAAGGGCTTGAAAAGGAGGCGCCAAGCGCCATCGAAAGATTCTGCGAGACAACATCCAGGGAATCACCAAGCCAGCAATCCGACGTCTGGCTCGCCGCGGTGGTGTCAAGCGTATTTCCGGGCCTCATTTACGAAGAGACCCGCGGAGTCCTCAAAGTCTTCCTGGAAAACGTTATCCGTGATGCTGTGACTTACACCGAACACGCCAAACGGAAGACCGTTACCGCAATGGATGTGGTCTACGCCCTTAAACGCCAAGGCCGTACCCTATACGGTTTTGGCGGGTAGAGAATCACGGAAACCTCAGAGAACTGATAAACGGCTCCTTTAGGAGCCACCACCTCATGCGAAAGTCGTGATCAGCCACAGTGATGGTCAAACCCTGTGTTTGAACAACGAGTCAAAGGGCGATATTTTTCTGCTCTCAACGTTTCTCCTAATCCTTGTGTTAGCGTTAATGCAGTGTAACTCGAGTCGCTTGTCGTGGTGTGCCAAATAGTCTCTCGTTCCAACAGGGAACTGGGATGGCAGGAAATAGGAAGTAGTAAATTGAGTTTCAAAAGCCGTGCAAAGCTGGGTTCAGCGAACGTTCTACTCAAATTCTATTACGTTTCCACGCAATGGAACCACGCGTGATCGCACCGTTCTCCAAGTACGTTAGTTCTGATCATTAACACATTTCATTAACACACACATTTCGAGTCGCTTGTCTTGCTATGCAAAATTAGCCCCAAAAAGCCCCAATAAAAATAGCCCCAATAAAAAGTACCTCGTTCCTTATTGGAACGGGGATGGCAAGGAATAGAAAAGATTAAAGCGGGTTTGCAACAACCACGCAAACTTGTGATCAGCGATCGTACCATTCAAACTCAAATGCGTTTCTCTGTCTTGACAGGTAGGAAAGCAGTTTATGCAATTCGCAAATTCCACACTCCAACAATTGAAAGAGAGAGAGACAAGAGCGGGCTGCAAATGTGTCGAGGCATTTTGCAAATCCAAATTACCGTCGTCCAACCAAACGAAAGGAAAACAAAGTCGCCGGCAATGTTTCCAAAAAAACCAAAGCTGATTTGAATTGTCTTTCATTCCGTCTGTTTGATTTTTATTTGCTTTTTATTTCTTTTACTAGTTTGGGATCAAAAATACGGAATGTAAGCGATGGACACTAGCTGAACTGAAACGATTTGTTTTGATCGATAACAAAGTAAAGACGCGAGCGCTTGTGTGTGCATGTACGAGTGTCAATTGGAGTAAATGGATTTTTTCACTGATCACGACTTTTTTTTCGAGGTTTGGTGGGCTCCTAAAGGAGCCGTTTTTATGGTTTGATGTTGTCAATGGTGCTTCTTCTCGGCCTTCTTGGGTAGCAGCACGGCCTGTATGTTGGGAAGAACACCGCCCTGGGCGATCGTTACACCAGCTAGAAGTTTGTTCAATTCCTCGTCGTTTCGGACGGCCAACTGCAGGTGTCTGGGAATGATTCTGGTCTTCTTGTTGTCACGAGCGGCGTTTCCGGCTAACTCTAGAATTTCAGCACTTAGATACTCGAGCACAGCGGCCAAGTACACGGGAGCACCCGCCCCGACACGCTCTGCATAGTTTCCTTTGCGAAGGAGTCGGTGGATGCGGCCGACTGGAAACTGAAGACCTGCTCGGCTGGACCTGCTCTTTGCCTTGGTGCCCGACGCTTTTCCTTTCCCTCGGCCGGTCATTTTAGTTTTCTCTCTCGCAAACTAGCTCGTGCTAGGACACACACTGAAATCCAACGATTTTGTTGTTCAAATTGTGACGCGTTCCGAGTCGTGACGCCGTACTTATCTCGCGGCTCGCGCGCGCTAAGGGATCGAAACCCTCCAATCAAAATTAATTCCGCCCTCTGTTGCCTCGTAGTCTTTTGTTCCTTTCACAGCTGTATCTGAGCCAATCGCTTCAAAGAGAATTTTCGTCGGCATACTAATTGATCCTCAACAATGGACCTTAAATAGGAGTCAATTCTCCTGTCTAGTCACACACCTCAGTCTATTTTTGAGCGAACGGTGATAGATTTTTCTAGACATGGCACCAAAAGTTCCCGCGGCCGGAAAAGGCGAGAAGAGAGCCGGCAAGGCTAAATCAGCCCCGACGGACCCTGGCAAGAAAAAAGAAGAGAAGCAAGAGAAAGGAGAGCTATGCGATCTACATCTACAAAGTGTTGAAACAGGTGCACCCCGACACCGGTATCTCCAGCAAAGCCATGGGTATCATGAACTCGTTTGTCAACGATGTCTTTGAACGCATCGCGACCGAATCCTCGCGGCTCGCGCACTACAACAAGAAATCCACCATCAGCTCTCGCGAAATCCAGACCGCCATTAGGTTACTGTTACCGGGCGAACTCGCAAAACACGCAGTAAGCGAGGGTACAAAAGCAGTCACCAAATATACAAGCAGCAAGTGAACTGCCCGACCTCAAAAAACAAACGGCTCCTTTAGGAGCCAACACATGTCATGAAAGTAAATGTCCAACATTGTTGTTGTTTTTGTTGTTGTTTTTGTTGTTGTTCTTGTTCTTGTTCTTGTTCTTGTTCTTGTTCTTGTTCTTGTTCTTGTTCTTGTTCTTGTTCTTGTTCTTGTTCTTGTTCTTCTTGTTCTTGTTCTTGTTCTTGTTCTTGTTCTTGTTCTTGTTCTTGTTCTTGTTCTTGTTCTTGTTCTTGTTTTTCTTTCTTTCTTTCTTTCTTTCTTTCTTTCTTTCTTTCTTTCTTTCTTTCCTTTTTTCTTTCTTTCCTTTTTTTCGAGGTACGTAAATGTTGGAGCTCGAAGCAGATCGATCCAGGAAGGAACTCTAAAAATACTTCTCGCCAAAAAGAGTTTTGACCGATTTCCCTTTCACTGTTCACAGATTTGGTGCCAAAGCGAGAACTGTTTTTAGACTTACTAAAATTTCTTCCGAATGAAATCAAGAATTCCCGACCCAAAAAAAATTTTATATTTCCCAGAATGCATTGCGAAAAAAAGCCTCATTAATATGTATTACATCCTTCCCCAGTTGTTGTTGTTCTTTCTTTCCATTTCGAATCTCTGATTTTTATTCAGTCAAACTCAGTTTCAGTGAACATGTTTTGCTGGTGCGAATGAGTTATTAATCTAGTACAAAAGGCAGGTGCATGGGGGCGTATCCGTTGGTAATAGCTAACTTGCTTTTGGCAAGTAAGGAACATGAAAAGGCAACAACATTGAATTAAAAGTCGGAACCAATTATACGAACGACTGAAAGCGCAATTGAGACCTTTATGTTTGTCTGGTACAAACAAACACACGCTGTTACCGAACGGTAATAACGTAGAGATTGAGGTAATTGCGCCTGCTTAAAAAGAGGCTCTTGTTCTTGTTCTTTTTTTTTTTTTTTTTATTTTTGTTTTTTTTTTTTTGCCAAGTAAGGAACAAGAAAAGACAGCGGCAATGAATTGAAACGTCGTTACAAATTATACGAACGGCTGAAAGCGCAAAATGGTGACCTTTATGTTTGTCTAGTTCGAGCAAACTCACGGAAAACGCATCAAAACAGTTGACCTCCGTCGCTGCTCACTTTCTGTCAAATTTTTGTCGCGAATCAAACCGAGAGTCGATCGCTCGCTTTTTTTTGTCTACGTCGACATTTTTTCTGCAGAGGCAGGTCACCTTTGGAGATGTGGTCATTGATTTTCTCTGTTGCTTCATGACAATAATGCGAGTTTTTCACTCACGTAACAAAAACCACGAAAATGAAACAACAACCACAACAAAAAACGAAACAGAACACACACAGAAAAATTAAAGACGTGCGAAAGGAGATGGGCTGCTCATTGACCTTTAGGTTAGTGGTGGCTCCTAAAGGAGCCGTTAGTGTTTGTTCGATGACCAAGCGACTGTACTAAGCCCGCTCGCCACGAATCCTTCGAGCCAACTGGATATCCTTCGGCATGATGGTTTACGCGTTTGGCGTGGATGGCGCACAGATTGGTATCTTCGAACAGACCCACCAAGTAAGCTTCGCTAGCCTCTTGGAGCGCTAGTACAGCGGAACTTTGGAATCGCAGATCGGTTTTGAAATCCTGCGCGATCTCCCGCACAAGCCGTTGAAAGGGCAACTTGCGGATAAGTAACTCCGTAGACTTCTGATAACGACGGATTTCACGGAGTGCAACTGTGCCTGGTCTGTAACGGTGAGGTTTCTTCACGCCACCCGTAGCGGGAGCACTCTTGCGGGCCGCCTTAGTGGCTAACTGTTTACGAGGAGCTTTTCCACCTGTTGATTTCCGGGCGGTTTGCTTGGTACGAGCCATAGCTAACAAGATTGAGGCTTCAGTCTCGTAATTTCTTCAGAAATTTTACGCTTTTCTCGCGATCTCCTGTGACAAAACCGATTTTATAACAAGCGCTCAACGATCCGATTGGTTATCCAA